AAAAAAAAAAAAAAGATATCTTCACTAGTTCCTAAAGGAACCCTGGGAATTTAACTCCATCTCCTGATGGCATGCGTAAGCACACTGCTCACCCAAACCTCTGCTTTCCTTTTTTTTTTTTTTGAGATAAAGTCTTACTCTGTTGCACAGGCTAGAGTGCTATGGCCTTAGCCTAACTGACAGCAACCTCAAACTCCTGGATTCAAACAATCCTCCTGCCTCAGCTTCCTGAGTAGCTGGGACTATAGGTCAGCTACAACAGCCAGCTATTTCTAGAGGTGGGGGTCTCGCTCTTGCTCAGGTTGGTCTTGAACTCCTGAACTCAAGCAACCCATCTGCCTCGGCCTCCCACCACCTGGCCTTCAGCTTCCCTTTAACACCCACTTCTCCTCACTGCAGGGATATATACCTGCCTTATCTCAAAGTTCTCACTTTTTTTTTTTTTTTTTGAGACAGAGTCTCACTATCACAGCAACCTCAAACTCTTGGGCTTAAGCAATTCTCATGTCTCAGTCTTCCAAGTAGCTGGGACTACAGATGCCTGCCACAACACTCAGCTATTTTTTTGTTGTAATTGTCATTGTTGTTTAGAAAGCCCAGGCTGGGTTTGAACCCTCCAGCCCCAGTGTATGTAGCTGGCGCCCTAACCACTGAGTGACGGGCACTGAGCCAAAGTCCTCATTAATACCAATAGTCAATCTAATCCAGCGGCACCTGTAGCTCGGTTGGCAGAGCACTGGCCACCTATACCTGGGGTGGCGGGTTCAAACCTGGCCCGGGCCTCCTAGGCAACAATGACAACTGCAACCAAAAAATAGCCGAGTGTTGTGGTGGGCACCTGTAGTCTCTGCTACTTGGGAGGCTGAGGCAAGAGAATGCCTTAAGCCTGAGAGTTTGAGGTTGCTGTGAGCTGCGATGCTATAGCACTCTACCCAGGGCGACAGCTTGAGACTCTTCTCAAAAAAAAAAAAATCAACCTAATCCATGCCCTACTCTGAGCCAGGAGGATCTAAAGCCAAGGAAAACAGGAGAAAAAGAAAGGGGGACTCAATCTTTGGCCTCATCTTTCCTTCCAGTTTCAAGTCAAAACAACTTTCACCAAAGCCAGGAGAACAAGCAAGAACAGCATGCATTGGTTACTCTCCCTCAGGCTGCCTGACCCAGGCGCCTGGAGTGAGCCCTCCTAAGTGTGTTCTGCCCATATCAACTGGATGACATCTTTCTGCAATGTGTGACTTTCAGAAGTAAGAGGGTGCAGCATCAAGCCTGTCTGAAATCAACACGCAATTCTGAAACTGCTAGGTTCTTTTTGTTTGCTTAAAAAAAAATGTTTATTGTGCACCCAGTTTATCAGCAGGCACAGTGCTAGACTTGGTGCATGTGTAAGCTCTGGAAATATGGTAGGTATAAAGCAAAACAAGTTCCCGTCCACACAGGGTTCACATTCTCCAAAATTAAATCTATCCCTCTTTTCCTTGTTGTCTCCTTCTCCCCACCACCAGTGGGGAGCCAGAAATAAACACATCTTTGCAAATACAAGGAAGATTAGGCCGCTATGCAAGTAAACTGCATGCTATCACACTCTTTGACACATCTGGATGGCTTTAACACCAAAAAAAAAAAAAAAAATCTAGTGACGACAGCACATCTGGCACTATGTTTGATCTTTTTTTTTTTTTTGCTGTCAACTTTCACTATGGAACTAGGGTTAAAAATGACTTCTTGGTGAGGCTGAAAATATTCCAGCAGAAACATTTTTATTTGTAGGAGACTGTTTTTGATCTTAGGGAAGTGGAAGAAAAATTACTCTTCAGTGATTTAGGAACATAACTTCACATATCCCTGACTAGCCCCCTAAGACTCTGGAACCAATTGCAGGAGTACAGTTCCTTCAATCCCTTTCTGATTATCTCGGAAGAAGAGATGACAGATGATGAATTTCCAGGCCACCCAGCAAACGGGAAGCTGAGCACAGGAGAAAGGGAAAAAAAGAGGCTCCTACCATCTGGTTGAACGCTCACCTTTTCCACCACAAATCTGGCCCTCTCTGCTTCCTGTTGAGCCACCTGTTTGGCTTCCACTGCTTCTGTGAACTCCTTCCCGAAGGTCAGATGT